TTTTTTCGTGATTTAATTGTCAAAGGTTATGTTTTACCCTACATGGACGATGTAGTTATTCCCGCCAAAAATGAAAATGAGGCCATTCATCGTCTCAACCAAGTACTCAAAGTTGCTAGTGAATATGGTCTAGAAGTTAATTTTCGTAAATGTCAATTTCTTCACAAAAAAAATCGAATTTCTTGGACATATCGTTGAAGGTGGTAAACTTTTTCCTTCCCCTTCGAAAACAAAATCTGTAATTAAACTACCCCGAACCTAAGAGTACGAAAGACGTCCAACGCTTTCTCGGTCTCACGGGATATTTTAGGAAATTCATCCCCTCATATTCTAGCATTGCAAAACCCCTTAGTGATCTCCTTCGTAAGGACACCCCCTTTCAATTTCATGCTGATCAGAAAGCCGCATTTCACAGATTAAAATATTTGCTTTCTCAACAACCAGTTTTAAGTATTTTTAATCAAAAGAGTCCTATCGAAATTCATACCGACGCATCCATTGATGGCTTGGGGGCAGTCCTACTACAAAAATCTATGAACGATAACAGCTTTCACCCTGTCTACTACATGTCAAAGAAAACATCGGACAATGAGCGTAAATACACCAGTTATGAACTCGAAGTCCTTGCAATTGTTGAAGCTTTAAAAAAGTTCCGTATTTACGTCCTTGGTTCACATTTTAAAATTATCACTGACTGCAACGCTTTTGTGCAAACTTTAAATAAAAAGGAACTCAATTCGAGAATAGCCCGATGGGTTTTTATATCTCCAAGATTTTGACTACGAAATTGAGCACCGTACCGGCTCAAAGATGGCTCACGTGGATGCCCTCAGTCGCAGTCCATGTTGCATGACTATCCAAGACAGTGTCCTTCTCCAATTTCGCAAAGCACAAGAAACCGACGAGCATATTACGGCTATTAAAGCACTCCTTCAAACAACGCCTTCGTATGATAACTTTCTCGTTAAGAACAATCTCCTGTACAAAAACGTCAATGGCATTGACTTACTTGTGGTGCCTGAGGATATGCAGGCAAATGTCATTAAAACAGCTCACGAACGAGGCCACTTCGCCGTAATCCGCACTCAAGAACTTTTAAACAACGAATATTTTATCCCAAATCTGAAAGAAAAAATTGAGCGGTGTATCCATAACTGCATCCCATGCATCCTCAATAATCGAAAGCGTGGCAAACAAGATGGACTTCTGCACCCCATTGACAAAGACGACGCACCCTTGCACACGTACCATATCGACCACTTAGGTCCCCTTGCCACCACATCAAAGAAATACAAACATATTTTGGCAGTTATAGACTCGTTTACTAAATTCGTGTGGCTTTATCCGACAAAGTCTACAGACGCAGATGAAGTTATCAGTCGGCTGGAATCTCAAAGATCAGTCTTCGGAAATCCTTCACGGATTATCTCTGATCGAGGCCCTGCATTCAAATCCACTGCATTTGCAAACTATTGTGACACACAGAGAATAAAGCACGTTCTTATTACAGCTGGCCTCCCACGATCGAACGGTCAAGTTGAGCGTTTGAACTCCATTATTATTGCTGTCCTTTCTAAACTCTCCATAACCAACCCTGAGCAATGGTACCGCCATGTTCCCGCCGTGCAACAAATTATTAATTCAACTTTTCAACGTAGCATCAATTCCACTCCCTTTGAACTTCTCTTTGGGACTAAAATGAAATCGCAAAACGACATAAACATCGCTGCTCTAATCGACGAGGAGATCAAATCTGCATTCATTCAGCAACGTGACGATCTCCGTAAGGACGCAAAACAGCAAATCTCTAAAGTGCAAGACGAAAATCGCCGTACTTATAATTTGCGACGAAAACAGGCACAAAAATTTCAACTTCATGACCTCGTGGCTATCAAACGAACTCAGTTTGGCCCTGGTCTAAAACTCAAACAGAAATTTCTCGAACCTTATAAAGTCACCAGGCTCAAACAAAATGACACATATGATGTGGAAAAGTGTGCATTTTTCGACGGACCATCCAAAACATCCACTTGTGCTGAATACATGAAGCCCTGGTCCAACAATATTGAACATATCACTTGATTTTTATACAACTGTCAGCATTCTAGGTCCTCCTGAGTTTGGACAGATGACACCTGAGAACTTTCTAATAATTTTTTTTCCTCATATCAACTTTTAAATTCATTTTGTCATACTAATGTTCTTTTTATTTTTAGTTAACTGCTGTGGTGTATTTAATCTATTTTTTTTTGCTCGATTTGTGTAAGTATCCTCAGCTTTGTATCTACAGATTATTTTTTTCATACCTATGTTACTATTTATAATAATTTTTTTAAATTTGATGATATACTATGTTGCTTCAGGCGAGGTCGCCTGTCCGGTCATGATGGCCGAATGTGGGAAAGTCATGATATTCCCTAATCCCCTACTGCGTGACGTATGCATTGCGTCAGCATGTGTTTCCCGCCTTCGAGAGAAGACGAGGATTAGCTGGCGAGCGGAGCAGACGTCTCTTGATCGCTCGTATACCATTTTCATTAATTGTAATCCTAATGTAATCTATATTTGTAAATAGTAATAAATGTGTGTTATCAACTATGGTCGTTGCCTTTCCCCACAATATTAGTTTTTTAAATCAAAGAAAAGCAATCCTACAATATTAATTTTATCATATAATAAGTAATTTCTGATTTAATTTAAATTTCCAAGCCATGTTTCACATAACTAAAAATATGCAAATAATTATGCTTCACTATTATTTAAATATAAATTAATTCCTTATTTTAAATTTATATACTGAATGCAAATATTTGCTTTAGAGTACTTATAATTATTATTATTACAATATAATTGAGGAATTACATTATTTTAAAACCTTTCTATAAAATAATTTTACTTCTGCAGCAGTTACACTATAATATAGTCTAACTGTAAAGGTTATAAATTATGCCATAAAAATCCAAGGCCCACTGCATCAGAAGTGATGCTCTTATGAAGATTTTCAATGGAAATTGTCTTATAATTCCTATGAGAAGAGCCAAGAAATACCTTTGAAGTTATAAAACCGGTCATCCAACGATTTCCTAAACACCCGTAAACATTATCTACTCAGCCACTGATGTATGTCTGATAGCAATAAGCTTTCCCTTTCATATGATATGCTAGCCTAAGAAAGACAAAGTAGTGAAAAGAAATATGAATACCTTTTATTCATCAAACTATTTTTCTGTTTTGTTGTCAACACTAAATGCACATTTTTCAAAGCGACTTTTCTTATGCACATGAAAAGACATTTTCGAAAAAAACACTCCAATGCTTCTCCTTTATGAGCATGCATTTGCTAATTCTTGTATGATCATCAGTTTAAAATCAAGCAGTATTTCAGACCTTTGTAGAGGATTATTTTCAATTTCTGAATTATAATAGTATTGTATTGGGCTGTCCAGAAAGTTCATGCAATTTTTGGTAGATGGCATAAAAACAGGTATGAATATATCAGAACGATTCAAAACAAATGATATGCATACAAATCATATAACATGGTACTTCAGGCATATATAGAAAAAAAATTGATTATGATATATTAACTTTTGTCTGGGTTATATGCCTTTGAATATGGAAGAAAACAAAGTGCATTTTAGGCACTTAATGGTTTTCTTTTACCAGAAAGGAAAAAAGGCCACACAAGCAGAAAATAAAACATGCACTGGTTACCACAAAGGTGCTGTAGCTGAAAGAATTGTGTGGAAGTGGTTTCACAGATTTAAAGTTGGTGAATTCAACCTTAAAGATCAAGAATGCCTTGGTAGGCCCTCCATCAGATTAAAACACCACATCAATATCTCCCATTCACAAGCATTTTGTGAAGCTGGGCTACATAAACCATTTTGATATATCATTTCCTCATGATTTAAAGGTGAAAAATCTGATGGATTGCATTTCCATTTGAGATTTGCTATATAAACACAATAAGACAAGCATTTTTTTCGAAGCAAGTAGTGACATCTTTAGCCACCCTAAAAGCCAGTTTTCATGTAAAAAAGGTCATGATCTGTGTCTGGTGGGACTGAAAAGGGATCCTTTATTATGAGCCTTTATCAAACAACGAGACGATAAATTCAGAGAAGTATCATTGTGTTTCATCAGAACAATGCACGGCCTCATGTGTCTTGGATAACTCGACAAAAGTTGTTGGAGCTTGATTGGGATGTTCTACTTCTTCTACCATATTCACTGGACTTCGCCCCCTCTTACATAAAAAAATTACCTTAATGGAAAAACTTTTAACTCTTTGGTTGAAATAAAAAAAATCATGTAGAAAAGTATTTCACTGAAAAGCAGAGAGATTCTGGAAGGACGGAATTTTCAAGTTGCCTGATGGAGAAAGGTTGTAAAACAGAACGACACCCATATACTTTAGTAAATCTATACTAAAATTTTAATTTCCTGTATTTCAATTTTCCTTCAAAACTGGTATGAACATTCCGGACAACCCAACAGAGGGCAATCCGAAAGTAAGCAAAACTAATACATAGACCCTTATCTGAAGGATTTACTGGCAGTCAGTAAAATATTTAATGTTAAGTTTGCCAGATTAGCACACTCCTTTTACATGCATGTTATACACCCAGATGAAATCTAACACAAGCAACTGCAGGAACAGTTAGTCACTTTCCCCCAGTATTTTACTTCTCACATTACACAGCCTATTAGGTGAACCATAAAAATTTGCTTTTTCTATTCCTGATGCATTCAACAAATTCGCAATTTTTTTTTTTTTTTTTTTCCTGTTACTTTGGCACATGCAACATTCATTTGATAGTTTCAGTTTTAAACTTTACTTTTACTTGGCAAGTTTTCTGAACCTTGGGAAATTCAAACTTTACTTACAGACTGTTTAACATTTTCCTTCAAATAAATTATTCTCCCCAAAATACTTTCCAGAATTATTTAACATGTTTTTAACTTTACTAAATCAATTTTCACTATATTAAGCTTACCTCCCCCATGTGTATGACCATGTCCATGTTGAAAAGCAAATATTCCAACTAAATTTACAAGGAATCCAAGAACAGAAACTACAAATAATCTTTCATGCTTAACTTCAGGTGGTTCAATAGCTCTCTGCAAAAGAATAAGAACATATGTAGAATTAAATCAGACACAGTTACTTAAATACTATATGTTAATTCTAGGGATTATGCAAGTTCTTTCCCTGGGTATGTTTATTTTTAGGTCTTAAATTTTTGCCTATCCAATATTTGAAAGAAGTGAAAATACAATTTTTTTTTTATATTTCCATTATTTTATAATAAAACCATAGAATAAAATATGAAAATTTAAATACAATGCTTGTGTGTCTGAGTTTAAATGATATGCCAAATAATGACTATTGGAGGTGTTAAGGCAACAAGAATCAGCATAATATTTATAAATTTGCAGAACTGGTTTTGAAGGTTTTAAATACAGAACCTTCTTTTCATCAGTTGCAGAAGTGGAAAAAAGCATTTATTAAAATTTTATATTTATAAAACTTTTCCATTTATAAGTAGTGAAATTATTCATATAAAATAAATTACCTCTTCATTTTTTTAAAATTTAATACTTGGAAACATATGCTCAGAATCAATATTAAAAGAAATACAGCCAGTATAACCTATGCAGATTTCTTTCTAATACAATTAATGGACATCATTATTGAAAATTCTCTCCAATATTACTACATAATTTAATGCAATGACCGGCATTAAATATTTAACTTATGGAAGAATTCATATTAGATTTCAAACCAAAGTTAAAGAGATAATAAACAGATTAAGAAAAATAATAAATTCTTTTTAACAAACCAGTTTGCATCTTGTATGTTTACAGATTCTTTTTAAAGGATAAAATTTTTATACTGATTAATTATCATAATAAATAAGTGCAATTTTAATTAAAAAATGCAGGTTAAACAAATCCAGGATTTTTTTAAATCCTGAAAAGTACTTAAAATAAAATATACAAGATAATACACCAAAAAAAAATTTGTTGAACATTTTTAATTATAGCAAATTTTAAAATCTGTAATTAAAAAAAAGTAATTTATCTGAATTTTTTTAAATGAAAATATTTTCATAAAATAAATTTAGTAAATGAAATACATAAAAAAAATCCCCTAAGTTCCTTTTCTCAAATATTTGACGAAATATAGTTCAAACTTGTATTTTAAAGTGCGTTTTGTTTCGATATGTTGATAACATTTCCTGACTTAAAATAAATATAGATATTTTGGAAGTGTGTGTGTGTGTGGGGGGGACATGCAAAAATCACTAATTTACACCTGATAAGTAATTTTTAACACATTAGTACCAGAAATTCGACACAAAGGATATACAGACAAAAAAATGAGGATCAAGACCATTAAGGCTAAAAATGAATTTTTTCAATGTTTTAAGTTAAAATGTTGAATGGGTTTCTAGTTTAGGATTTAAAAGATTCAAATCATTGGAAAAAATAACATTAATAGCAATAATAAAATACGATATTTATTACTCATAATTAATCATAAAAAATTATTATTTTTGCAGAGCTTTTTTAGATGAAGGTTAAATTTTTCTCAGAATAAAATGATTATATTCGAATTCTTAAAATATTCACCATTTTCATTATTTATACTAGATGTTAAATTGCACAGAGCTTGTTCAACTCTTTACACCAAAATTTACATTAAATAATATGTCTATTTTCTATTGTGTTATGATACATATTACTTTTTAATGCAACCAGAAAGTAAATATAGTATAAATCTATAAATGTCATTTAATTCAAATTTATTAATAGCATAACTAAATATAAAATACTCACTTCTACAGCTTCCGAAAATATAAAAAATGAAATAAATAAAAGAAATAATCCATTAACAAATCCAGCTAAAACTTCAGCTCTCACATATCTAGAAAAAAGAAACTTAACATTATACAGAAACCTATTGTTAGTATATAAAATTTGAAAAACTTTATTTATAAATGTTTTCACATAACTTTATTTCCATCTCAACATCTACAACAGGTTATAAAAAACATAACTTTTAAAACAATTTATGATTTAACATAAAGAATGCAAATGCATTTCTACAATGTGCTGGAAGCAAATAAACATACAAATTGTGCTAAAACATAAATAAAAGATAAACATGTTAAATCATAAAAACGATAAAGAAGATATTCATAGATTATTATATTTTCATCTCCCTAGTGCCAGAAAGAGGTTACATATCCCATGAATTCAAACTTTCAATTTAGAAATAACTTAATTAACTTGGTATCTGTTTTTGAAAAATTTACCATTTAGTTAAATTTAAAACTTACAAAATGATTAGAATAAAAATACAATATTATATTAATTACAGTAAAAATACAATATTACTTAAACCCTGAATTATCACAAGTATTGTAAAAAAACTGTATAATTCTAACATTGCGTTTAAAAATTACTTAGAAGGGGGCAATAAGAAATCTCCATTGTTAAATAATAAAAAAATCTATACGTATGTATTTCTCTTATTGTGAAAAAAAGACGCCACCTAAAGTCCCCAAATTTTAAATACATATAACCCTTCACCTAAACATGCGAACCCAAAAGCCAGAATTTTGAATTTGTCTTTATTTTATACTTAGTTCAAATTTGATGAATTTTTGATTAAAAAATAAGGCATTTAAAAACTTTGTGTAGCCATTTAATAAAGCTTATGATATTTAGGTTTCAAATTTAATCACAAAAATAAAAATAATACATTGCCATTTGGGAAAATGCAATATATTTGTCTTTCACATTTTATCATATTGTGGAAAAATGCCGACAAATAACAGGGCCATCAAATTTTGAAGACACACAGTCTTCCATCTAAACATGCGCCGAAGTCCAAAGTATTTAATATTTTGAGCAAATTTAAGGAACTTTTGACAAAAAACTCAGCAATATAAGTTTCAATAACTTACATTTATACATAAGAAAATATGTTGAACTTTAGGTCATCTAACATTTGCAAATATATAATAAACATAGAGATGTATACTCGTAAAAATTATCCTACCCATATGGATATCTATCATTTGCTCGCCACTTAGTTATCACAGATGCAGCTAAACCAGCCAATAATGCTGTACAATCAAAAAACATATGGAAAGAATCTGATATAAGACCTAAACTGGAAGAGAGGGGAGGAAAAATATTAAGCACAATTAGAAATGAAATGTTTCAAAAAATAAATAATATGCAAAATAAATTAAGTCACAAGATTTTTCAGATAACAATTTAAATCTTTTGATTAGAAAAATATCACTTTTTTTTATTACATAATGGTTTTTTTTTTTTGTTTGTTTAATGTTTTCTTTAATCAATTAATAACCGATTACAAAAATTTTAAATCATGTTTAGAATTCAAAATATGAAAAATTCTTGTAATAAACATACATGTACGTTATGAATTTTAAGCAAAACATATATTTATAAAAATTTTTTAATTCAGAGCAAAAATTACATAATAAACATAGAAAAAGTCCATAAAAAATTAAAATTATATATACAGTACAAAGTCTTTAATCTGGACTCGTCCGGACTTCGGCGATTCCGGATTAGGGGTTTTTCCTGATTATAGATCATCAATTTAAATCTGGTAAGATGGCATGCAGAGATTATAATTTTAAAAATATGAAACCGTAATTTATGAAATAAAGAGCAATTATGATCTAAAGAGTATCAAAATTTACAAAAAAAAGCTTAATATTTATTTGTTTACTTTATTAAACATTTCTTTTAATGTAAGTTGCTTCGCTTTTTGTGCTAAACGTGCATGCGTAGCATTAAACGTGCATGCGTAAACGATAAAAAAAAAAAAAAAAAAACATGTTTATGGCTTTGTGTACATACACACATTCATACATTTCTGAATCTGGTTCCGATAATAGAACAGTACCCAATTTATTTTCTTACTGTCAAATATTAAGAGTCTTAAACAAATTATGGATCATGATGTAATTCAAAATGCAAAAGTCATCAGTTTAAATCTGGTAAGATGGCATGGAGAAATTATAAAATTAAAAATACGAAACCGTAATTTATGAAATAAAGAGCAATTATGATTTAAAGGGTATCAAAATGTACAAAAAAAAAAGCTTAATATTTATTTGTTTACTTTATTAAACATTTCTTTCAATGAGCGCATGCGTAAAGCATACATTATGTATAGTCAATATTAGAAAACTGCAACCAGAAAACTATTTGATGTGTATTCGTGATATTTATAATGACAAGGAATTTGATTTAAATTCATTGAGCTCCGCGACTCCCCCCCCCCACAGAGAAGCATGAAATTGATAAACAGATTTCGGAATGGTTAGAGAAACAAAGAATATGCCTTTATCCATTTTTTGCTGCAATTCCACTTTTTGATTGATGGACATCGAAACATGCTTTTGCTTTGTACATCCTTTGGCAGATCCAGAATAGGAAACTCTTTTTGACATAATCGAAAGTTCAAGCTTACTTTTTATAAAATTGCTGTAACAGTTTGCAAAAAATAATAAGCCGGATCCAATTAGAAGATTAAGAAACAACGCTATCTGCAACATTAACTGAAATAGATAATTAGATAATTTTAGCCTAGCTTATACCGTCTGTTATACATTAAACGCACATGCGTAAACGTATTATGCGCATGTGTAAATGCATATGCGCATGCATAAATGTATTATGCACATGCTAAGTGTATTATGCGTTTACGCAGGCGCAGAAAGTTTGTAGCTTTGAGGTCCGGATTATAGATCATTCTGGATTATGGACATCCGGATTAAAGACTTTGTATTGTTTTTAGTTTTCATTATACTATATCAGGCTTCATAGCCCCATTTTAGTTAAAAAAATAAGCACCTATAAGCACTTTTCAAGCACATTTTAAGAAAAAAAATAAGCACTTGTCTAATTACATTATACACAACTGCATAACCTTAAAAATTAGACTTGTAATTTAAAATATGAGAAATGCAGTATTTATTAAGAGAGAATAAGCATTACCTCAACCACGGAAAATAATTACTTTTTTTTTTTTTCTTAAAATAACAGTTTAATTTAGAGAACTAGTTTACAATGAGAGAAAAAAAAAAAAGAACTATGCAGAACTAAACTATATTACAAGATTTAATGATGAAATTTCAGTTCAAAATAGAGAAAATAAATAATAATAAGGCATATTTATCATATTCGCTTGGAACCTAATATAAATACAATTTTATTTCAACTCATATTCATATTTAAATAATTAAATCTAAATTCTGAACATTTTCTAAATTTTCATTGTATATCAGTTTTCCCTTAACAGATATTGCAAGCAAAGTAATTTAAGTAAAAAAGAGGAACATTTCTGAAATCAGAAGACAGAAATTTGCTTCATGCAGTTATCCTTTAACAGTAAAAGCTTAACTAACCCGCATACTTGGAAATTGGCGAATATTCGGACAGTCGAACGTAACTTGAAATAGAGGAGCGGAGAAGGTGGTAAGATTGTAGCCGCTCTTTAGATTTTTCCGCTAAATAAATGCTTTTGACATTTCGATATGTGCATCATATAAAATAAACCAATGGAACTGAAAAATATTCTGCTTAGCAAGCACAGTAAAACTCTCATAAACAAATCTCGGACAGAACATCAAAATTGATTATCTCTGCAAAATATCACAAACGTTATTGCGCAATATGTGTGCCGTAATTCTTCCCTACGTGATATTACACAATCGGAATCAACAGCTGCCGGCATTCGGAGAATAAAGAACTAAATAACTGGGGTGTTTTTCATTCTAATATTCAACAGACGGCGTTAAATTTCCGGAATAGAGTCATTCTTCATTTGGGTTGGTAGACCGCAGAACTTTTATACCTATTCAATCCAGATTGGAAAGTGATCTAAAAAAAAAAAAAAAAAAGAGGTCCGTTGCTTGTTTTGCAGCGAAATGTAACAGTTTCAGTACAGTCAAAAGTCGTTAATTCGGACACCCATAATCTGGAATGATCTATAATCCGGACCTCAAAGCTACAAACTTTCTCCTCATGCATCGCGTTTACGCATGCGCACAGGCGTTTAAGAGTGCGCGTAAGACCTTTACGGCTGCGAATATGTTTGTGCGCATGTGCGTTTAATGTGTAACAGAGGTATAAGCTAAGCTAAAATTATCTAATTCAGTTAATGTTGCGCGTTGTTCCTTAATCTTCGAATTGGATCCGGCGTATTATTTTTGCAGACTGTTAGAGCAATTCATCATAACAGTAAGCTTGAACTTTCGATTATGTCAAATAGAATTTCCGATATATATTTACTAATATGTAATTGTATCTACAAAGCGAAGTATGTTTTGAAATCCGAAATCTGTTTATCAATTTCATGGGGCGGATTGGAAGTTGATCTGTCAGCACTATCCTTATCTTCAGGGCAGATGTTTTTATTTTATTTGGCTTATAATTCTTTACTAAGTGCAGTATTTCATCTGGATGTACTCTGTCTTTGATATGATTTAAATCAAGTTTCCTCGTCATTATAATTCGCTTTGGATAGTGAAGAAAGTGACCCAGAGGTTATTGAAAACGAAAACATTTCGATTGACAAATTAGTCGGTATTCTCAACACAGCAATTATAGGACTTGAACAGCGGAACTTTGTAACTAAACAAGAAATTTATCTGTTTAATAGAATTAAGAGAAAGTATTATCACATGAAACGAAGCAACTTACATTGAAAGAAAGTTTAATAAAGTAAACAATAATATCAAGCTTTTTTCTTTTTGAATTTTGATACCCTTTAGATCATAATTGTTCTTTATTTCATAAATTACGGTTTTCATTTTTAATTTTAATTTTCTCTGCATGCCATCTTACCAGATTTAAACTGATGATCTATAATCCAGAAAATTCGGTAATCCGGAATCGCAGGAAGTCCCGACGAGTCAGGATTAACGACTTTTGACTGTATTCGAGATTTTGCGGAGAAAGGGGAGAACCTCTTAATCTGCGTATTGCATAATGTATTGGCCATAAAAATTAAATTATTTTGACTATTCGATTACTTTCCCTTTATTTAAGCCATTCCAAATATTATTTCTTAGAAAGCTAATCTGTGTTAAAACACAACCATTTTTGGAAGTTTACTATACTTCAGCAGTTACTACAACTATGTTATTATAAACATTCATACATATGCTCATAATATAAGCAAAATGATCATAATAAACACGAATATGAACTGACCAAGCGGAATGAGAATGCAAATTATTAAGATCTTGATAGAAATTCAAACATGTGTAGTATTTGGGTGGGAGGAAAAGAATACCTAATGTACCATGATTTTCTACTGCTTTCACAATTCTTTGACCAATAGAACGATGGGTACCAGTCTGTACTCTTCGTGCATACCAAAGGTTATGTGAATGCAGAGAAAGGGGTATAGCTATTTCCGGGAGTATGATTCACCATCTGACATTCCACATTAGGAAGAAAAGTTGTTTATTTAGTTTCGGCTTTGGTGTGGGAAAAATAGCGCGTTCATTAAAAAAAAGCACTAAAGCAAAAAAATAAGCACTAAAAAAAAAAAAAAAAAAAAAAAAAAAAAGAGGGGGCTTTAAAGAAAAAGTAAGCACCTATAACGGCCTTTATATTTTATTTTCAAATATAAGGACTTATAAGCACTTATAAGGACCGCTACGAACCCTGTATATGATTTTAACAATATAATATTTTAAAATTTTCCGTTATATTAAGTTTACTTTATTATTTCATATAAATACACATTTTAGTAAGACTGATAAGCATAAATTCTAAAGAAATCAACAGATCTCTGTTAAAAAAAAAGTGACAATATTTGGAAAAACAAAATTTCCATACTAAGGAAAAAGAAATACATAAAAAAAGTCTTAAATTCACAATTTTATGACTGCTTTGATAAAATTAACGTTAATCTATGGTTAAAGGGTCTCAATTTTAAAGCTTAATTTGGCATATTTTTATCAAAGTTGATATTATTTCAATAATTTTTTTACACACTTATTTGGCATACTTGTAATTTGCATCATAATGTATGCATTTATCACAAATGATCACCAGAAAGCTGATTTTTTAGATTTTTTTAATTACTTGATGTTAGTTTTACAGCATTACATCACATTTTTTTTGGTGAAACATGTTTTATTTAAATTTATATCTGAATTATGCTCCACTAAAAGAGATTCACAATTAATTTCCTAAAAACAGCATATTTAAATTAAAAATGAATTTCAGCAAAAATTTCTTTTATAAAAAGAGGCAGAAACAGATGCAAAATCATAAACTAGTTTTATATTAAGAAAAATATGTTATGTAGTTAATATTATCAATTAAATTAATTATAAAAAGTAAAAATTATGGTTAAATACCCACAAATTACTGAAAGATTCATCAGCAAACCAACAGATGAGTTTCATGATACATATGCAAAAATTTCATGAATTTAATACTAATATAAATACCCATACTAAACATATTTTACACTGAATCTATTTACTACTTCATTGAATTCAGAATCATGTTTACTTAAAAAAATAAAATTACAGTTGGTAAATTAATTAAAATTACAGTACAATAAAATTACAGAATGGTTTTAAATCACAAACCTGATGTTGGACAAAAGGAGTTATACAGTCAAAAGCCGTTAATTCGGACACCCATAATCCAAACCTCAAAGCTAAAAACTTTCTGCACATGCGCCGCGCTGACACATGCGCATAGGCGTTTACGTGTGCACGTAAGACCTTTACGACTGCGCATATGCGTGTGCGTAAATACAGAATACGTTTTCGCGTGCGTGTTTAATATATAATGGACGGTATAAGCTAAAATTATCTAATGATCTATTTCAGTTAATGTTCATGATAGCATTGTTTCTTAATCTTTGAATTGGATCCGGCTTATTATTTTCTGCAGACTGTAAGAGCAATTTTAAAAATGTAAACTTGAACTTTCGATTATGTCAAATAGAATCCGATGCTGGAGCTCCAAGGACCTACAAAACGAAAGTTGTTTCGATGTCCATCAAACAAAAGTGGAATTGCTGCAAAAAATGGATTAAGACATGAAGAAGTGACAAAGAAGTTAGTGAAAACGAAAAAATTTCGATTGACAAATTAGTCGGTATTCTTGGCAGCAATTACGGGACTTGGAACAGCGGACTTTGTAACTGAACAAATTATATCTGTTTATAGAATTAAAGAGAAGTATTATCACATAAAACAAAGCAACTTAAACAACTACATTGAAAGAAATGTTTAATAAATAAACAATAAATATTAAGCTTTTTTTTTTTTGTAAATTTTGATACCCTTTAGATCATAATTGTTCTTTTTTCATAATTACGGTTTCTATTTTTAATTTAGAAGTTCTGCATGCCATCTTACCAGATTTAAACTGATGATCTATAATCCCGGATCGCCGAAGTCCAGACGAGTCCATTACACTTTTGACTGTAATTGAAAATTCCGTACTACTCTGATATGCGCCGCAAGTCGCCAATTTCTCGCGAAACATTTTTGGCAGAAACTCCACGCTGCCATATTGCTATCTAAATTTTTTGTCTACATTTGAACTTTAGCCTAAATGTCTCCAAAACACAGTTTTCGCGAATGCAAAAATCAATTTGAACACACAATTTAAGCTAAAATCCGAAACAAAAAAAATTTAGATATTAAAACCGTAAAGTTTCTAACCAAAATTCTTTGACAAGGTCCATTACCAGCGATATGTTTTAACTTAACAAAATATCTCGAATGGCACAATCTAGGCAACAATGAATCTACGAACTACCGCACACCTCACTCACTTGTTTGTTATGTTATTTATTAACATAACAAATAATTTCAAAGAATACCATGTATACAGCATCCTGTTTAAACTTAAAAAACATCTACGAATTGCACATTTAGGCAACCAACGAATCTACAAACTATGCCACCTCACTTTAATAAATTACATACAACATAAATTTCAAGAATACCATGTACACACGTCCTGTTTCACTTAAAAACATCTACGAATTGCACAATTTAGGCTACAAACGAATCTACGAACTTACGCACACCTCACTTAATAATTAACATAACAACAATAAATTTCAAAGAATACATGTATCAGCGTTCTGGTTTCAACTTTAAAAACATTTACGAATGCACAATTTAGACGGTATGCACTAATCAAAAATCTAAAATTAATTCAAACATTCAAAAAACAACAATAACGACAGAAATTCATACTAGAAAAACACACACTAACAAACATTCTACTACATACATTCTACAAATAAAACAGAATAAAATAAAATGCACTTAACATGATCAATGCTTTTTCGAACAGCAGAAATACCAATTTCATACTGCCTTTAACATGCCACCACGTAATCACTATCATATTTATATGACAACCAGACACACTATCCAGAAAATTCATACACATTCTACAAACATTCTACTACATAACATTCTACAAAATAAGAACAAGAATAAAATAAAATGCACTTAACATGAATCAATGCTTTTTCGAACAGCAGAAATACCAATTTCATACTGCCTTTAACATGCCACCCGTAATCACTATCGTATTTATATGACAGCCAGACACACTATCCAGAAAATTCATACTATGGTTCACAAATAAATAAAATAACAAATAATCACAAATCCCTACTTCTATCATGCACAGCCACTAAAAATAATCTCCCAGAACCTCTTTCCACACCTCCAAATACCCACTGTTCCTCAACAGGATGGCCACGACGATATTTCCTTTTGTCGAACTTGAATTCAACAACTTTCACCATTTTAGCTTCTCGGACACAGAGCATGACGCGAACCAACGAACTCCAGCGAAAGATTTTTCAACGTCAACAGGGTTGCCATACAACATGCAATCGCGCCAAAAACCAACGCAGAACACATATCACCACATTTGATGAAATTAGGGTGTATATCAGAGTTGTACCGAAATTCCATTTCCATTATTTATCATTAAATGTTTTGTATATTTTAGCAATTTAAAAATAATAAGTAAACATAATTCTTAGTACCTGTTTGTCCATACTCCGTAAAATAATTCTACAAAAGCAAATGACAAGTTGAGCATTAGGAAACAAAACAAGTTCCTTGAGGTTTTGTCAGCTAATATTAGCCTGAAAAAAATCCAGAATATATTAAGAATTTAAAAATTACAAATACCATTAACATATAAACAGTTATTAAAACTAAAACAAGAAACTGGTATACGTACCTGTGGATTTCAAAAAATTCATTTAACTAATTGTAGCAATATTAATACTTTGATCATATTAGCAATTTCATATTTTATTGTGTGCTGTACATAAAAATACAGAATATCTTAACTGAACAACTTGTACAGCCTTTTTATTTATTAACAGACACTTTTCAACACAGTGCTGCCAAATTTTCAGAATTGCTGATTCAGACATTTTAAAATTAGTATGTTTAGGGAAATTAAAAAAAAAAACACTTCATTTTTTGTTTTATTTATAATTTTTAAGAAAATTTTTTTAAATTTTATTTATTACATTTATTATTATTTTATTACTTTGTTTTATTTATTGACCTATTCTTAAAAATATTGAATTAATTAAAAAATAATAAACTATATTGCCTTCTTTTTATTTTATAAAAAAATTCAATACTAAAAAAAAAACTACAATTATCTCAAACAAAAGATCTAAACAGAAACAAGACATAAAATATGAATTTTACCTTTTTAATTGTATATTTTCTAAATTTATACATTTATTGTACATAGAATATATATATACATATTCAGAACTTGTTTACCTACATGAATAATTAAAACAGAAAATGAAAACTTATAAACAGAAACCACCACATTTGCTTTCCAATATTTTCAGGTTACTAATTCAAAATTATATTTTTTGTCACTCCTGGCCTAAGATGATTTTAGTGCTTAAATTATATGCATTATCCATTGAAATAAAGCAGTTGCAAATATTTTTGCTAATTTAACTTATTTCATCATAATTTCATTGAAAACTGGACAAATCAATAGTTGACTTTAAAAACCAGTTTGTCCAGCAGAAAACAGCCTAGTAGCAATATTGCTTAAATGGGCTTAACCCAGTTTTAAAAAAAATTAAAACCTACTGCTCTTATATATAATAAGCAACAACTTTTGGATTGTTTTTAATGTTAGAATAACAGTTTTAAATGAATTTTGCATATTATAGATTTCGAAAATCTTCTGCATCTTGTTACTCTGATAATATCTAATATTATTAAACACAGAGCAATTAGAAATGGTATTATATTATTCATGCATTATAGCAGAACAAATATACATGATATCTATCCAATATTTATAATTTCAATTTTTGATTTAGAATCTATAATACAAGATTAAATAAAGCTGACCAGTAATTATCTCAAAAGTGACCAGAAGTTATTCCAAATTTGACTAATTCTTGGTCATTTAAAGATTTATAATTATAAAAATTGTATAAGTATTTATATCGAAGTAAACATTTTACTGTAAAGACATTAAAAGATGGCTTACTCTAGACTGAGCTAGAAACTTTACTTCTGAAGGCTGTTAAAATTGTTAAGACTTTTTATATGCTCACAGTCCTATTCTCCTAACAGCTGCTGAGAAACAAATCTCACAAAGCCATTCAAATATCTCCTACGTGTCAAAAATCATTTACTTTTAATTTTTCTATTAACACTCTAATGATTTGCTAAATGCCTACAAATTAAGTACAGGATGTATATTCTGACAAAAATATGGCAAGAACAACTGCAGCATTTTTATATTTACATTAATGAAAACAAAATCAATAAGAAATACATAATCCTAAAGGTTAAAACTGCAACATGTAGTATTAAAGCAAGTGTTAGTTGCAAGATAATAAATGCAATCAAGTGACATAAATAAGAAAAGAAAGCAAAATAAAGGAGGAGGGGAATATACCTTTTTCTACAGTTTTAAACTTTTTACAAGTAAAAAACAAGAAAAGTAGCAAATTAAGATGCTAACTAAAGTGCTTTGCTTTAACGTCCTTAAAGTTTAATTCAGAAGTCAAACAACAAAAATCAGCGTTAATTTACAAAATTTTCAAAGGAAAACCTTTCCTGTGAAAATTTTGTAAATTAATGCTGGTTTTTGTTGTTTGACTTCTGAATTAGTATTTATTCGGCGTGTTTTGTGTCCTTAAAGTTGTTAAATTAGCATATGAAAAATATTCATTGGTGATTAAATTATCTTAATTAGCTAATTCTCCCATTTTATTGCTTACTGAAATTAAATCAGAGAATTTGGAAGCTAATCAACTTTAATTTTTTCTGACCCCCCCCCCCCAATCTTTAGAAGCAGATGTAAGTAGAATTTTTCAAGATGTTCATTCATGGTTCCATCAAATTTTCGTTTTCTGTAGGGGTGACATAGCCATAGAAGACAATACCAGTGTTCACATACAATTACAAGAAATACCAGTCACTTTCAGTGATAACTGCCGTCATTATTTTACAATTAAAACAAGCAAAATCTATGTATTGCAAACAGAAATAGTGAATGTCACAATTTCTACTTCAAGGAAATGTCATATTCAGAAGACAGCTGAAAAATCAAAGTTCTTAACCCTTTGATGGTTATGAACGAGTTCAGCTCGCAATCGAATCAGGCTTCATAATGCGTGCAAACGAGTTCCGCTCGGGAGCAAGATTTTGACCAAAATGGTTAGTAACGAGCACTACTTGTGTAGCGAAATTTTTCCCCAATGCGAGCTGACGAGCTGACTTCGTTCGCCATTATTATTCTGCACTGATTGTGTTTCAAAGGAATGCTTCTCGCAAAATTTAGTTAGTTTTACTGTCTACAGATGGCAGTACGAGTTCCATGAATTTCTTTGCATAATGAAGGTGGATTTTTTTTTGACCTTGTTCACTTTATACGTATTTTGGCGCGGTTTTTAGGGTGTTTGTACAGTAAAATGGCTCAAAAACGAAAGTTAGATAGGTATGATGATGATTATGATTGTGATACAGAAAGCTTATCAAGTTTTGAATCTGATGAAGACTTTGTTCACAGTATTTCAAGCTCAGAAGACGATTCAAGCGATGAGGAAGATTTTTTCGAGTGTTCGACAGTGGTGTATAATTGATTCAAGTTCTCACGCTCCTAGCCGATTTAGTTTTACTGGTGATGTAGGCATGAAAGCTTTGCGTGACAAATATTTCTGAAATTCTCTATTAGAAAGAACCTACTAGATGATGTGTGGTATGTTGCAGCAAAAATGATGCCAATGGAAAAAGAATTCGCCGTGAAACACGTACTTATTGCAAAAACTGCAATGCCCTATTATGTGCAATTCCATGTTTTAAACTATATATCGCACACAAAAAGATTTTTAGGTAATTACTGTATTTATACTGTGCTTCATAAAGTTTTACATTAGTTGTATTTATTTAGTTCTTTTCAATTTAATATTTGTCTTATATTTATAATTAACTATTATTATTTATATAATTGGTTATAATCATTTATAATTTACTGTTTAATAATTATTTTAAAGTACGTAAAAACTGTTATTTATGTACTACAAATACTTTAAGAAATTTTTAAAACGCGCGAGGCGAGCTATCTACGGCATCGCCAGAGAAAGGTGACATTTTCGGAAGAACGGCGGGGGAAAACAGCTGCCACTTTCGACTACTGTTTACTCCTAATGCTGCGCGAATTAAGTAAACGGAAACTGCTCATTTCCATAACCGTCAAAGGGTTAATAAATATACCAATTAAAATCCGTGTTACATAAAAATAGTACCCTGAAAGTGGCAAATAACCACACGTTGAAATACAGACATCAATTTCACATAATTAAAAATAAATATATAAAACACATAACAATTCTACACAAGCGGGTTTTATTGTTTCTTGCAATAAAATTTATCATTGGCAAATGATGATGATAATGCAGGCCTACTATAAGAAATGCATTCATTTTCAAAGTCGCAGGACACATGTCCAAGTGGTAGTTGAACTCGTTTCACACATTTTGAGTGTTATCCAGTCAATGTTATCATTGCAGTTATGATTCGTTTCTTGAGCTCTTTTAATGTTTTTGGTAATAGGAGGGTATAAACAAGGTCTTTAATATTCTTCCAAAGGAAGAAGTTACGGGGCATTAAACCAGGTGAACTCAGCGAGGTGAACAACTGGAAAATAGCACGATTAAACCAGGTGAACAACTGAAAAATAGCACGATTTAGCATCCATTATGGATGGCCACTTCCTTTAGAATTATGCAGTAATGACTAGGCGGCCATTGCTGAAATTTCTGCCAATGGTCGGCGAGATAACATGTAAGTAGTTTCATTTAGAAACTTTAAAAAAATGTATATTATTTCCTTCATGTGATATAATTAAAATAAAATTTTAAAACTGGAAATATGATTTCCCTTTTTACAGAAGTATTGTTGAAAATGATATGAATAAAAATGAAGTTTCTATACCCTACTTAGGGGAGGGGGAATCAGATTTTGGAAGAGGGGAACGAAAGCTTTTTTTTTAAAAAAAAAATGAAAGCTTTTAGAAAGAAATCCCAAAGGTAGGGGCGTAGCTAGAGGGGAGGCAAGAGGGGGCATCTGTCCCCAGGCGCAGAATCCAAGGGGCTTCAAACTGATGTTACGACATTTTAGAATTAAATGTTTTCCATCCTTGGCAAGCAGTAGGGAGCGCGAAATCATTAGTGTCCCTGGGTGCTGAAAACCCTAGCTACGACTCTGCCCAAAGGGGTATTTTTTTAATGTTGTGTTACTTTTTTATTTATTAAATATCGTGTTCTTCACACTTAAACCATAAAATTCAATTCAACAGCAATATCACAAAATAATTTTAAAATGAGCATATCTTTAAAATTTCCAATACACATTCTCGAACATTGGAGATAATCTCCCCCCCCCCCTCTGTACAGTGTTGCCATTGCTCGCTTTGAAATTGCCAAGTTTCTTAGTAAAAAATTCATTAAAGTTTTACAAAATTTAAAACAGATAATAAAACAAATTCCAAATTTGGGCTTCCAGATCCCCATATTCGGGTGGAAATGAATGTTTCTCAAAATTTGATGGTTCTAGGTACTGTTGTTTTATCACATTACGAGAAACATATATACATATTCTTTATTATTTAATTTCTTTAAATACAATACATGGCTGTAATATTTGGTGGCAACAGTTTGAAAAGTGAACCGACATTTAAAGTTTTCAACCAAAATGCCCAAACGAAATTAATAGCCCTTCTGGGCTAACACCCTTTAGGTTAATAAATAAAATAATATTTCAGATGACACTGAAAATTTTAATAGTTAAATATATTTGAAATTTTTTATAACTTATGAGTATATTATTTCAGATATAACTATGTCATATATTAAATTGCTAACATCATTGCTGCTTTAATAAAAACATCTCAAGACTTAATTTCTAAATGCTACACTAATCACCATCACTTTCCATCAATTTAATGTCTTTAAATGCAATTATATTTTCATAGATAATACATATTATTTATCTAGATAAAGTATATACAGTATATAAAGCTTAATAATAGATAGTATAATCTACAGATTATCATTTCTGCAATAGGTTATATGCCAAAAATACTAATTTGTCAATTAAAGTGGCAATCAATTTAGATTCCTGCAAAATGTCCGAGAGGCAGAAAGATGATAAAAAGTTCAAATACGTACCATCTAATTAAAAAAAAACTTTCTAATTTATCTCCTTTTTTTTTTTTCTTCTTTTTTTTGGCACAATGGGAGGGAGTTTTTCTGAAAAGTTGCTACTTTTTATTTATATGAACTACTGCAACAAGAGTAATACCATACAGATTGGTTAGAATTAAAGTGACAACAATCAAAACTCCCTGGAGCTTGCTGTAATTAACAAAACACACATATTTGTCATTCAAGATAATGGAAAGAGCTTCTAAAGATCATTTTAAATTCATGCCACCAGATGATGCTTTTACCCTATGCATTCGCTAAAATAAAAGGTCAGTTTGAATGAAACAATTCCGACTTGATCATGCCATAAATTTAGACAAGAAATACACGTTTTTGGTGCAATTATTTTACCAGAACAGCTGTAATATCCCTACTCTATTTAGAGATAATTAAGTGAAATATTTACAGAAAATGCATAGGCTGAAAAATGGGTTAAAAATATGAGTTAGAAATTATAAATAACTGATGAGTATAGAATATCACTAGGAAATAAAAAGGTTCCATATGTAACAAAAGTGATCCACGAAGTGATTATTACTATGGTTGACAATACTGGATATGCTAGAAAATCATCCCAACTATGCTATCCCAAACATGGCTCACCGCAAAAAAAAAAAAGCAGCTTTTTTATTTTTAAATTGAATGATTTGTTCTTCAGAAGTTACATCAATTAATAGTAATGCTATTAATAATATGATTTATTAAACATAACTGAATGCATATGGATGCATGAATATTTAGAAATAGTACATTTCAATTTATTTTACCCATTAATCAGCAAAATATTTCAAAATTTGCACATTCCTAAATAATCAAATGATACATGCAGGCTATTTATTGTATTAGTAATTAAAACAGTGGTCACAAAATTAACAGCCATGCTTTTTCGGGGATTCTGTTATTTTTCAACAACTCAATAATGCTTCTAACCTCAAAATTTGAAAAATTAATCAATATCATGCATTAATTTTTAACAATTTGTCAATGATAAACAGAAATGAGAAGTGCACACAAATTATGATTTTAAGCTTAATAAGCTAAAGTTGTTAAGCATTTCAGAAAAATAACTGAAATAAACTTACGTGAGTTGATTCTCCCTATTTCAGCATGATTGTTTATATAGAGATGGAAAAAGAAAAAAAAAAAAATCTTTTATTCCTGCACATCTTAATTCTTTAAGCATATTCAGATAAAGTATTAAACTGAAAAATTCTAGCGAATTTTTTAAGCAAGTAACAGATTTGGAAAAGGCCAAACAAATTTAGGGGGAAAAAACGAAAAATCACATAAAAAACATAATGCAATACACAGCCATATATGTATAACTTTAGCAAGTCAAAATAATAAAACATATCCATATTTATCCAGGTCATACTAATTTTGATAAAATATACATCAATTCATAAGTTTCTAATCAATGATTTATTGAAAAACCTGTATAGCTTTTATCAAAACGAATATGGTTTATTGATACATTGATCCCATTTTTTATTACTTGAAGGCTGCTTATGGCCTATGGTGAAAGTAATAATGTTCACTTTTGCCAAAATGGAAAAATTCTTCAGATTTACACACTTTTTCAAATACATCTTTAATTTCTGACAGCAAAGCATTTCTGCAGCATCCTGATCCTGGAGATCACAGGTACATTACAAATTACAGTACTACATTTCTAGGTGGAACGAAATTCTGGGACAATGATAAGGGTCAGTCAGTATTGCACAAATAGCCTGAGGCTTGTAAAAAGTACTTATTTCCCACAACATCTCTTATCGAGCACCAAATGGTGTCATAAGTCTATTGAACTAGACAGAAACTACACTGAATAGCAAAATTAAAATAATTTCAGTGTTACATACAGTACAAAGTCTGTAATCCGGACTCATCGGGACTTCAGCGATTCCGAATTAAGGTTTTTTTCGGATTATAGATCATCAATTTAAATCTAGTAAGATGGCATGCAGAAATTCTAAAATTAAAAATATGAAACCATAATTTATGAAAAAAGCAATTATATAAAGATATCAAATTTACAAAAAAAAAAAGGGCTAATATTTGTTTACTTTATTAAACATTTCTTTCAATGTAAGTTGTTTAAGTTGCTTCGCTTTTTGTGCTAAACGCGCATGCGTAAAGCATACAAAAAAAAAAAAAAAAAAAAAAAAAAGGTTTGTGGCTTTGAGGTCCGTATTATAGATCATTCCGGATTACAGACTTTTTACTGTATTAGCAACAAAAAATTCCTGTTTTCATGGAAAGTAATAATAGATAAATCACACATATATCAATTAATGGCTTTATTTTTTTCTGGGTTTTACAATCAGTCTAGCTAGACCAGAATACAAACCAATGAAAGTCAACAAATCAATATGTGTGATACTGTCAATCAGTATTATAATAGAAACCAAGATAAATCACATTAAAATGGGTAATCATGTACATCTGCAATATTACTACATGAAAAAAACTAATTGCAGCTTTTTAAAAAAGCTTACAATAGAAATATAATATAATAATTAAATAAATGAAAGCCATAACACATTACAAATCACTTTAACATATTTGAAGAAATTTCCTTAAAATGAGCAGAATTATATACCAATATCTTGTACTTAAAATGAAATATGGTACAACTCTAATATACGCCCTAATTTCACCAAATGTGGCGATATGTGTTCTGCGCTGGTTTTTGGCGCGATTGCGTGTTCTATGGCAACCCTGTTGACGTTGAAAAATCTTTTGCTGCAGCTCGTTGGTTCGCCTCTGTGTCTGAGAAGATGGGAGGGAAGATAAAATGGTAGTTGTTGAATTGAAGTTCGAAAAAAGGAAATATGATTGTGACTATCCTGTTGAGGGGTAGTGGGTATTTGGAACTGTGGAAAGAGGGTCTGGGAGATTATTTTTAATGGCAGTACATAATAGAAGTAAGGATTTGTAATTTTATTTATTTGTGAACCATAGTATAAATTTTCTGGATAGTGTGTCTGGCTGTCATGTAAATACGATATTGATTACGTGGCGGCATGTTAAAGGCGGTATGAAATTTATATTTCTGCTATTCGAAAACGCATTAATTCATGGTAAGTGCATTTTATTTTATCCTTGTTCTTATTTTGTAGAATGTTATGTTCATTGGTTCTTTAGTATGAATTTCTGTCGTTATTGTTGTTTTTTTAAATTGTTTGAAATTTATTTTAGTGTATTTTGTTGTTTAGTGTCTAGACTGTACAATTCGTAGATATTTTTTAAAGTTTAAACAGGATGCTGTGTACATGGTATTCTTTGAAATTTATTGTTGTTATGTTAATTTATTACAGCGAGGTCTGCATAGTTTGTATATTCGTTCATTGCCTACATTGTGCAATTCGTAGATGTTTTTTTAAGTTAAAACATGTCGCTGTGTACATAAATTCTTGTCAAATATTTTTGGTTAGAAACTTTACGTTTTTGCTATCTAAAATTTTTGTTTCTGTTTCGGATTTTTAGCTAAATTGTGTGTTCAAAACGTAGTTTTTGCATGTGCCAAAACTGCATTTTTGGAGACATTTTAGGCTGAAAGTTCAAAATGTAGACAAAAAATTTAGATAGTAATATGGCAGTGTGAAGTTTCTCGCCAAAAATATTTGACGAGAAATTTGGCGACTTGAGGGCGCATATCAGAGTAGTTCCTGAAATATCTATAATTACAAATAAGCAATAGTAAAAATATAAATACATAAGGAATTTCCAATTATATAATTTAAAAAGTTAATGGATGATATTTGTTTTTCTAATAATAAATAACAAGTATATGCAATGATGTACATATCTATACGCTTAAAATACAAAGCATTAAAACTATACATTGTTATTTTACAATTAAAAGTGACATAGAAATGATTCCATCAACAAAAATCTACACCTAAGTAATTCAATCTATTACTTCAGGGAAGTTCTTGAATCATTTCAAGTTACTGATCATTAAATTAGAAATGATTATATATGACTAAACAGGAGATGAACTACGAATTAACGCAACTGTGTATTTGCAATAAGCAACACCAACAGCTATAGGTTTTGTACGATGAAAATTAAAGCTGTGCTACTATTTAAAATTAAGGTAGGTTTGACACAGAAGCAAACGACAGCATGCAAAACAATACAGTATGATATACTACACGTAACTATTCACGTACACAATTTCTGGATCATATATTACAAATAAACATCCACAGTTATAAGAAGATGTGTAAGCATAAGAAAGGCTTTTCCAAATAAATTATGATTATGCATCCATTCAGTTATAATATCATGATAATTACTACTTTTAATGCTTTGAAAAATGATGAGATCATGACAAAATAAAACGATTTTACAAATATGACTAATAGATTATGAAGTTAAGAAGGAGTACAGCTTTTCTCCGAATTTTATAAAGACAATATGGTTTAACGCTTCGCTGATATATTAGAAGAAAGGGACACAAGAATAAGACGACTGAAAATGCTTTATCAAAAGAATAAAAAAAAGCGAAATGAAAGGAATAATAGCAAGGCAAGCAAAAGCAGAAATTCTGAATTAGCATTAATTTTTTGAAACATACCGGAACCATGATTGAGCTTTCTCTTTTATACGAAGTCTCCTTCCACTTTTGTAATCTCTGTCATTAGCATGTACGGGTAACATTGATAGGTAGTTTCTTTCAACCTTTTAATTTAGTATGATTAAAGTTTTGGCCACGAAACTAAAGTATACAGGCCACAATGCACATATGTTAGCTGCTGAGTTGACATACACTGAAAGCGGATGTCGGTTATCTCATTTTTAACTGTACACTTGGCATAACTGTGACAACAACAACAACAGAAAAAAAAACTTTTGTAAATATTGAAAGAGGTACAACGAATATTGAGTACAAAAGAATTAAAAGAGTTTTTTATATTTATAGAATAGACTAATTAAATTTAGTTTCTAGTTAGTCAGTTTTAAAGTTTTAAACAAAATATGCAGTTCTTCAAAATACATTATTATCAGAGATACAGGGTCTATTTAACTCAACTCCATGTTAAGATGACTGCGGGCGCAGCGATTCATGCAGCGGTTGTTCAATATTGTTACGGCAACCGTGCATCGATTATATGCATATAAAATAGGTATGCTAATGACATGACGAACTTTCTGAAAAACGCTTGCATGATAAGACGAAGTCTTTCTAATTGTAACTTAGAAACCGTATGGCTTAAAAAAAATTCCTTCACATCACGTTTGAATACTTGTTTTCTACGGAGTTTCATGGCTGGAAGTAGCAATTCACAGCAAATTAATAAATTGAACAATGAAACACCGTTTCTGCCAAAAAAAGCTCTTGTTCTTACCAAATTTTCAAGGTATGAATTTGAAAAACGTCGCCATTCCGATCTTTCTGAAGAAGAACTTATTAAGAATGTGAGTGCTTGGTTTTTTATTATTTTTTAATACACTTCAAAATTAATTTAAACGAAATACAAATTTTGCAACTTAGACACAGTATGTTTCAGCAAATATGCATAATTACATTCATCCATACGCTTTGAAAAACATGAAATAGTGACTATACATACCGCTCGCAGTATGCTTTGGTAGTTCCGTTCAGTTGGCCTTGTCATATCGTTGCTTACATCATTTTGCATTAAACGTCGTTGAGTAAGCTATCTAAACACTAAAACTATCACTTTTTTGTTGTACCAAGTAATTGGAGGGAGCCGTTAGTTGAAAGCCTTTCATTTAATTTAGTCTCAAAATTCACTGAAGTCTTTGCTTTATGCAGTATTTTGTACTTAAAATAAAATTGGTATTTAATATTGTATAGCACATTCTTTAAATTCCTCTTAATGACTTTGGCATGAATTCTGCAACAAAAATCTCAACCCCTTCTTTTTACATCTTTTTAGCTCTTTTTAATTTTGATTATATTAAGTTTTCTCGGTATTTTTAAAATATGATGACGTTTATTTATGAAGATGAATGGAATTTCAGGCTCATAGTAGTTAGTACTGCAATCTCAAATTTGCTGTTTTTCTGTATACTTACTGATGATATTTTTTTATTCTTACCTCCCCAAAAATGAAATAAGGCCATAAATTAAATTTTGAGGCAGTTTTGTTAATCTTCTTAAAAGGTGTTTATCCTAGTTCATTTAATTATTAATGTAAAAATCAGTGTCTTTGTAATAATAGTTTCTGAATTGCTTTAAAAAATGAGTAAACCTGTTGTAATCAGCAATAAAACTGATAAAGTAGATAAACAGTCATTTTCGTTCACAAATCCCAAACACAGCCCCCAAACATTTTGTAATCTTATGCATATTCAGTAGTTACAAGTCCCATATTTTTTTTATTAAAGCTGTATAAGGTATGGCACAAGATAAATTGTAATTAATTATTTTAATTTCTCTCTTCTTTTTTCGAAGACATGAAAATATTCATTTTTATGAAGAATAAATAAATATCTTGGCTTAATCCTAGTGTTCAGTACACACAGGATTTGGAGACATTAACATGAACAGTAAACGGAATATTTATGGTGAGCAGTAAATGCGTCATTTTCGTGTTAGTTCAGTTTAAAAAAAAAAAAAAAAAAAACTATACTAGATACTAGGATTGGTGAAAGTTTGCAACTGGCTGCCCCTTGTGTTTTGGCAATTCTTTTTTTGACGCCAAGATAAGCACGATGAAGGCACAATTTCAAGATGGCCGATAACACAAGACCAAAATAACCACATAAACCAAAATAAAACAAAGAATTGCACAAACTCGGTGTCCATGTATGCATCGATGAAGGCACAATTTCAAGATGGCCGATAACACAAGACCAAAATAACCACATAAACCAAAATAAAACAAAGAATTGCACAAACTCGGTGTCCATGTATGCATCGATCTATTTTCACTTAAAAAATATCAGAGAATTTCACAAACACAATATTGCGCACTGCCTTGACTTTGTCTGGTTTCATTTCAAAAATATCGGTCCATATTTTTCTATTTCGTTGATCTATTTTTGTTCAAAAAAATCAGGAAGCTAAAACCAAGTTAAAAATATGGTAACCAGAAATGGGAGTTCGTCACCAAAATTGAACAAAATTTGTTGCCAATCGAAAGGGCACCCAATTCTACATTAGATCCTAGGAATTTACGTGTATCTTCAGCCAAATGAATTAACTTCAGGTGATTCAATAAAATACGGATGCTTCCCTTCTTACCAAAAAGTAATGGGCCGAATGGTGTTCATATATTTTAATGTCCTATCCATATCTTCCAATGATGTCCATGAGATAAGAGCTATAAATGCAATCAAATAAACAATTAAAAATGCTAAAACAAATAAATTATACAAAATCATGCTTTGCTTCATCTCTTCCTTTTT